GATGTCCAGTACCTTCCTTTTGCTTAGGTTGATGGGACCAATGTGGTAGGGCCAAAGAGCAGTTTGTAGTCTAAAGAAACTAAATCTTCAATATTGGACAAATTTTTCAAGTGAAGTTGAAAAATGCTATAAATTTGGTCCATGTTTTTTGTTCTTTTGTGTGGTTTTTTTGTTTCATTTTTGTTTTTGTTGGTTTTCCCCCTTTTCTTTAAGTCCTAGCCCGAGGGCTGAAAGCCTGAGGGCCCCAAAGTTCAGAGCTGGAGGGGGGCTCGCAAGCTGGGTCAGGGGGAGCGATGCGATACCTGAAGATGGGGGTCGTGGGTCAGAGCTGCAGGAGTGGGTCCCAATTCATGTCCACTCCCACCGTCCACTGCGTCTGTGCGCCGCACCTTGGCCAGTCCCAAAGTTCAGAGCTGGCGGGGGGTCACGAGCTGGGTTGGGGGGAGCCATGCGATACCTGGAATTGCACGCTCTTGTTACAGAGGAAGGAACAGGTAAGGTCTCAAAGCAGACACACCCTCACAGGCATTCAATTTAGTTCATCTTAAAGCAACATAACTAAAATCAGGAATTAACAGTTTTTAAAGAATGATAAACTTTTAGAATTCTAGGTCAAATTTATAATTCAGATGTGTTGGATGTTAACAAATATTAAAAAAATATCCATGTTTGGAATTTTTGGTAATAACTTGATTTAACATATGCAAATAGACCAATTCTTTTTCAAAGGAAAGTCTTCTTTGCAGGTTTGTGGTATTATGATGTTTATAGAAACAAGTAAGTGGGCATATGTAAGCTTAGGCACAATTGGAGGGCAAATAGCTGTAGTCAGAATAAGCAGTAGGACAGACATCTAGGCAGTCTGGTCATTAGGTAAAGGAGTTTGGTAACCTTTACCGTATAGCTCATAGTAGAAGTTCAAAAGTCGAATGAATTAATTTAATTTAGGGATGTTTGTAAGATAATAAAAATAGCAAAAGTCAGAGTAAAAAAGGGTCCAATTTCAGGCAGCAACAGTACCTACCAAAACCAGAAAATATACTCTGCTCATAGGAATCGAATGGTTTGCCTGTTGGCCTATTTGAATTTTCCAGCTGTGTATCATCAGCAACCCTGGGTCCCAGGTGTGTGATTATAGTAGGAGACTGTCAAGAGCCTGCAGGTGCATCCGGCTCTTGATTGGAATAGGGGCAGAGGTGCTAGGATTACCAGGAGGTTCTTATATTAGTATTGCTTATGAACATTCTCACGTCCAAGTGGAGTTTTATGCTTAACAGCAGAATGTGCCCCAATTGCAAGCAAAATAATCTGAACTATCCAGGGCAGTTTTCACATATGTCTGCTTCTAAGCAACCAAGTAGCCTAATCAAGGTTTATGGACACCTTTTTCCAGTCAGAGAACTAGCTAAAGAGTATTATCCTTTCCTCCTAGCTTTAGGCACTATCTTGAAGTAAATAATCAGAGTTCCTTTCATTCTGAGGTGTTGAATCTTTGAGTGGGCTCTGACTCATAGTAGCCCTCAATTAAGTTTCTAAGACTGTAAATCTTTAGAGTAGGAGAGTGCCCTTATTTTTCCCAAGGAGCACCTTATAGAATTGAACCACTGGCATATTGGTTAGCAGAAAAATGTGTAACAAACTATGAACCATATAATTCTTTCTCACATATCTTTAGATAGCCAGGGTTTGAGAGAGTTTCCATCTATTCCTCCTACAGAGCATTTACATCTCTGTATTGTCTGTAATTTATTATTTATCAAGTAGACATAGATTAATGGAGTGGCTGTTTCATCCTACAAATTATCAATCTGTTAGGTTTTAGCTGTGCTTTAATAACCCACGTTTCGGTGTAACATGTTAATGTTTACTTTAAAAACAAATATATCTTTTTATTGATATTTTAATAAAAGTGTACAGAAAACTTGGATTTCTATTTGTTCATTATTGTACATTTTCCTCCCTATCCCTACACCAGTTTCCTTTTCTCTTTAGAAAAGATTGTTTCCTTGTTACACAATTTCCTCCTTCTTTCCTGCCCTCCCCCCCCAAGCCCAGTCCACTTTTCTAGGCACTTCTTATTCTGGACTGTTATCATGCAAAGAATACCTAATCATATTTTTCTTTTAGTTCTTACCCTCATCTGTTTCAATGCAGTGTACATAATTTATCCCCTCTTTTCTTAGTTTCCCCCAACCCCCATGTCAATACTGTTTCACCGCAGTGACATTATGCAGTATTTGTCCTTTTGTAACTGAGATATTTCACTCAGGATAACGTCTTCCGGGATCACCCATTTTGTACAATATTTCATGAATTCCTTGTTTTTAAGTGCTGTTTAGTATTCCATTGTGTGAATATACCACAGCTCCTCTATCCATTCATTTGTTGATAGGCACTTGGGTTGCTTCCATCTCTTCACTATTGTGAACATCACAGCAATAAACATGGGTGTGCATATATCTGTTTGGGTGGCGGTTCTGGTTTCTTTAAGGCATATTTCCAGTAGTGCAATTACTGGGTCAAATAGTATTTCTATTTCCAACTTTTTGAGAAAGCACCATACTATCTTCCAGAGTGGTTGTACCATTTTACACTCCCACCAACAGTAAGTAAGAGTTCCAATTTCTCCACAACATCTCCAGCATTTGTTCTTTGATTCTCTGTTGAACTTTTCTGTTATTACTGGGGTGAGAAGATATCTCATAGTTGTTTTGGATTTTGAATCTTTCTTCATGTATTTGTTCGCCATCTGAATGTCTCTTTTGGTGAAGTGTCTGTTCATAGCGTGTGTTGATTTTGTGATTGGGTTGTTTATCTTGTTGAGGTGCTGGAATATTCTATAAATTCTAGATGTAAATCCCCTATTGGACATGTCATTACCAAATATTTTTCCCAATCTGTGACTTTCCTTCAGAGAAAAGCTTGGAAGAATTTTAGAAGCCCACAACATGAACAGTCTCCCAAACAAACATTCTGAAAAACCTACAATCAGGAGAGAATAGAATAGATGAATGGGCTCTTCTAAGAATGAAATCCTTTGTACTTTCAAAAACTTTTCCAACAGGGTAAAACAAATCTTTAAATGTTTACTAGTCTTTCAAAATTTATTTAGAGAAAATTTAGCTCATACAGTGCTAATATTTCCATATGATTATTTTATATTTTCAATGTATTAACTTCTATTTTTCCCATATAGGGTGTTTTTAAAATATTGTTGCTGTTGCAACATGGTCCTTCTAAAACTTATGGGGACTAGTACTTTGAATAACCATGTCCAGTAACACTTTTCACCAATAAAATAGACATAAATGTGCACATGCGCGCGTGCACACACACACACACACACACACACACACACACACACACACATTTTCATTTTGGAGAGGCTGACTCTATGCCAGTACAGCAAATGAGAAAACAATATATTCACTTGTAAAGCACAGTTAACTTCAGACGGAATGTGTAAGAGTAAAACCCTAATTTAGCAATGCTGGAAGGATATCTATTTGGGGGGGAGAAAGTGTTCCTTTTGGAAGCTTGTGTCAAATTAATTGGCCAGGGACTGAACAAGAATAATAGGAAGTACATTTTTTATAAAAACCAGCTGTTGTCGCTAATATTTGGTAATGAACTGCTTTTTGTATATGAAGATGACAACACTCACCAACTGGAAGCACAATATTGTACTGTGAATAGATTCTTCAGGAACAAGGCTGGATTATTTTGATCTTCTACACTCCAGGGCCAAGCCTCTCTTGGATCTTTTGCACATATTTGTGCAAATAACGTATAATCTGTGACCAACCAAAAAAGCTAAGCCAACTGGCACAGAATGGGTTCAAATCCATGACTTTGACTTATTTAGCCTGGCACTCAAACAGACTGAAGTAATCACTCATGCATTATGTAAAATCCTAGATTTGTGTAGTCACTGCAAATCACAAATAATATTTCTCTTTCTTATTCTTTCTTGGTTGTAGGTGGCCCATTGAATAAGAGATTAAATTCAACATCAAATGACTAAGTTATGTTGAAATGGAACAGTTTTCCTAAAACAAAATGCATGTGGCTTGTCCCCCTCTCAATTATTAAAAATAATCTCTAAGTATAGTGCTTCTTTTAGCCTATAGACTTCTTTTAGGCTATAGACTTTTAATACTAAAAGAGAACCTGAAAATACTTAGAAAATTAATATTTTTCTTTACATTTAAGACAACAAGGAATATGATGCCTATCTCTCTTACACAAAAGTGGACCAAGATACTTTAGATTGTGACAATCCTGAAGAAGAGCATTTTGCTCTTGAAATACTGCCAGATGTCCTGGAAAAACACTATGGATATAAACTCTTCATTCCAGAAAGGGACCTGATTCCAAGTGGAAGTAAGTACTTTCAAGTTTGTGTTTAAAATGTTTGGTTTCTTTTAACAAGTTAAATGGAGACTTCAAACATCAGAGCCAAGTAACCAGATATTTGTTTTTCACAGATTTTATTAAAGTCACATTTTTATCCAAATGCTTGTGTTTTGATATTCTGGTATATAAATTTTTTTAAAAGGCACTTGTATTTTACGTTAAAAATTGAACTTTTCACTTAGCATTCTGAGAAAACGCTGATCCTTTTAAGACATAATCTATACAGGTCAATTGAAACCTTTGATTTTCGGTTCTACCTATAATCATTTTCATTATTAACTCTGAGCTGTACCTTTAAACCTTGTTACTCATTGTATTTTTGTTATTTATTCTCAGATTTATAGAGGAAAATATACTTAAAATATGATGATTATATATAACACTTTCACTGTGTATTCAAATTATCAAGAAGAGCTGAAAACTTTGGACTTCTATGATCTTTTCAGTTATACTGCGCATTAGGAGTTACATTTAAGTTTTCAGAATCAATTCCATTTCCAGTTAAAGAGTGCTGTACAGGATTAAGTTAAATCCTAAAAGCTAATATTTTATCCTTTCCCTCAAAGAGCTTAAAATGTTATTGAAAGAAAATGCAAGTGCTAGAATAAATTTGACTAGATGTCAATGTTAATGTCATTGAGAGAGGGAGAGGGAGGGGGGAGGGAGAGGGAGAGAGGAAGAGGGAGGGAGAGGGGGGGAAAGGGAGAGATAGAGAGAGATTGAACTGGTGACAACAAATCAGAACATAACAATTTAGACATATGTGAGAAAAACAAAATAAGACATTTCTCACTAAATGACAGTACAAATGCTTTCACATACATACTTTCACATGTCAAGAGGGCCAGTATTATAATCATCATCTTACAGTTGAAGAAACAAAGCCTTGTACAATTCTGGAATAGACAGCTGGTAAATGATACAGCTGAAATGTGAAAATACATTTGCTTAACTCTGGCTCTCATTCAGCTAGATCATGTTATCCCCTTAATAATATTCACTCAGATTATAAACTGTCTACTATGGTCACTAAACAGACCATAGAAAAATGGAAACACATGAATTTTGGTCATCCATCTATTTTCTCAGACTGCATGCGTGTTTCTGTAAGTTTCTCTTTGAGTGTATGTAAATATGCACACTTACATGTGACAGAAAGGAGCAAAGAAGACCATACTTACTGGACCTTTACTTTTCTGCCTCATAGAGGTAAATATTTCCCAAGATTCATCCTGTGATTCACCACTTTTTTCTTCTGAAGTGGTTTTCATTTTCAAGATTTAAAATATCACTTTATCTTGGGTTAACTTCTGAGAAACATCTTGGTATCTCAAGAGTTATTTTTTATCCTTTTATATCTCTTCCCCAAATAAATTTTCCATTCCCACTTTTAGTATCCTGAGATAGGCCATAATCACCCTATTTGTACAATTCTTATCATCTCTCTGTTTTTCCCACCTTTCCTCTTACAAAACTTCACTAATATCATGTACACCTCTTTGATTACATCACTTCCCAGTTCAACAGCCTTACATAGTTTATCATTTTCTATAGGATAAAATGCATAACCCTTAACTGAACACTAGTAGTCTGGTGGCAGCCAGATTATCTTTTGCCTTTTCTCCCATTATTTCCTCTACATATACCCTTCACTAAAATCAGACTAGTTTGAGTTACTGTGCCTTCAACATATACTGTATATCACTACCGCCCTACTTTAAGGAGCTCTGGTGGCTTAGTAGTAAGGAATTGCACTTCCATTGCAAAAGTATGTGGTTTGAATCCACCAGTTGCTCTTTGCGAGAAAGATAGGCAATCTTCTCCCATACAATTAACTGCCTCTGAAAACACACTGAATGTGAAGATTGCAAAGGAGGTAATTATTGAAATGAAAAGTCATGGTTAGTTCATAGAGAAAGTTAAAGTTCTTAAAACAAACTTGTAAGTATATTGTTTTTATTTTTTTTAATATTAGAAAGATTACCTACAAGGGTTTGAACAACCATTGATAAAAAATTAAAACCACTTATCTTCTTTTATTTTTTGCTAATTCATTGCTGTTGTTGTTAGGTGCTGCCAGGTTAAGTATGACTCATAGCAACCCTATGAACAGTGTATCTGAACCACATCCTACCCTGTGCCGTCTTCACACTTCCTGATACTCTAGAGCCCATTGTAGCAGTCACTGTAAATCCACCTGTTTGAGGATCTTTCTATTCTTCATCAACCATCCATGCTTCCAAGCATCATGTCCCTCTGTAAGAAATAGCCCCTCGTAGCAACATCCCTGAAGCACATGAAGTGAAACCTCATCATCTTGGCCTCCAAAGAACACCCTGGCTGCACCCTTTCCAAGACATATTTGTTTGCTCTTTTGGCAGTCAGTGAGATTTAGTGCTCTTCTCCAACACCAGAACCCAAAGGCATCAATTCTTCTTCTGTCATCCCTATTCATTGTCCTGCTCTAAGATGCATAGCAAGTGATCAGGAAGACCATGGCCTGAATCAAATGCACCTTAGTCTTCAAAATTATATAATTATTTCTCAATAATTAGGAGAGGTCCCTAACTACAGACTTTCCCAATGCAATACGTCTCCTTATTTTTTGACTGCTGGTAGCAAGGGTCTTCATCGTGGATCCAAGTCAGATAGAGTTGTTGACAGTTTCAATCTCTTCACCCATCAAGATGCTTCCTATCTTGTTCAGTGGTAAGACTCTTTGTTTTCTTGACATTGGGATACAATCCAAATTGAAGGCTTAATTCCTTAATCCTCTGCAATAAGTGTCTCAAGTCCTCCTTAGTTTCAGCAACCAAGGTTGTGTCATCTGCATAATGCAGGTTAATAATGAGCCTCCGATCCTTATACCAAATTCCTCTTTGTAGAGTCCATCTTCTTTAATTTGCTCAGCATACAGATTAAATAGTATGGAGAGAGAATACAATACACACTCCTTTCTTAACTCTAAACCATGGAGTGTTCTCCTGCTGTGTTCATACAACAATCTCCTGGTCCAGGTATAGGCTCTGCATGAACATAATTTCGTACTCTGGGATTTCCATTCTTCTCATGGCCAGCCACAATTTGTTACGATCCACACGGTCAAATGTCTTTACGTAGTCAATAAAATACAAATAGACATTCTCTAGTATTCTCTACTTTCAGCCAGGATCCATCTGACATCAGCAATGATGTCCCTGGTGTCATAGCATCTTCTAAATCCTGCTTGATCTTTTGGCAGTTCCCTAACTATGTACTATTCCAGCCATTTTTGAATGATCCTCAGCAGTATTTTGCTTGTATGTGATATTAATGATATTGTTTGATAGTTTCCACATTCTGTTGTTTCACATTTCTTGGAACAGGAACAAAATATGGACCTTTTCCAATCCTTTGGCCAGTGTAAATTTGGTCTTCCAAATTTTCTGGCATAAGTTGGCACATCCAAGACTGCATCAGTTAATTGAAATAAGTTAGTTGATATTATATCAATTCCTGGAGACTTATTTTTTTGCCAGTGCCTTCAATGCAACTTCCAAGTCCTCCTTTATTAATATTGGTTCATATGGTGGTGGTGGTGGTTGATTGCCGTCGAGTTGAGCACAGCTCATAACGACCCTATGAACAAAAGGCCTGAAGCCGTTCTATAACTATCGTCTCTTATCAAAGTTCATAGAGTTTCCAGAGGCATGTTGGTTAAGAAGTGGATGCCACTCCTGCTTCCAAGTATGTCATATGGTACTTCCTGAAATTCTTCAGTGTCAATTAGCTCTTTTTGGTGCAGTGATTCTGTGTATTCCCTCCATTTGATACTTTCTGGGTCATTCAGTATACCTCCAATAGTTATCTTTCATCATTGCAACTTGAGGCTTAAATTTGTTTTTTAGTTCTCTCACCTTGAGAAGTGCAGAGCGAGTGCTTTCCTTTTTATTCTCCAATTCCAGCTCTCTGTAAATTCCTGTATAATACTTAGCTCTTTCTTCTCAAATTGCCCTTTGAAATCTTCTGTTCAATTCTTTTACTTTGGCATGTTGTACTTTTGTTTTGGCTTCCCAATGCTCTAGGGCAATTTTCAGAGTCTCTTCTCACATCCATTTTGGTTTCTTCTTTTTCCTCTGTCTTTGTAATGACCTTTTATTCTGTGCGTGAATGATCTATTTGATACCATCTCACAACGAATCCAATCTTTGATCACTGATGTTCAATGCCTCAAAGATATGCCTAAGATGATCTTGAAATTCAGATGGAATAGAATCAAGATCGTCTGGGTTCTTGGTGTCTTATTTTACTTTCTTCATCCTCAATTTGAACTTGATGGTCTGACCCACAGTCTGCCCCTGGTCTAGTTTTTACTGCCAATATTGAGTTTCTCCAATGATTGATTCCTTAGATATAGTCAATCTGATTCCTATGCAGACTATCAAGTGAGATCCATGTGTAAAGTTGTTGCTTATGTCTTTTTAAAAAAACAGGTAATTTTAATAATCATTCTATTTCCTGTCTCATTTCTATCACCAAGAGTATATATTCCAACTACTGTTCCTTCTTCACTGTTTCCCACTTTTGCCTTCCAGTCACCAATTATAATCTGTGTATCTTGATTGCATGTATGGTCAACTTCGGACTGCAAGATTTGGCAAAAATTCTCAATTTCTTCCTCTTTAGTTCTAGATGTAGGAACATATATTTAAATAATAATCGTGTTAATAAGTCTTTCCTCTTTTGTTTGAGAAATTCATTAAAGCTCTGTATATTTTGGATTTTTAAATTTTAATCAAGTATCTTATTATATGCAGAAAGTCATCAAGGTGAGGGAGGTGAGGAAAATTGGAAGAATCTGTACTAGAAAACAATGTATTAAAATTTTGTAAATAAACTAGTATAAAAATATGTATTTTTCAAAAAAATATTTATTTAGATGAAAATATCCTAAATGAAATGAAAATAAAATAATTACTTAATTGGAA